TTTGTTTGTTTTATATAGAGCTTAATGTTCCTATTTCTCAAGAAAAAACAAATAAGAAGCCACAGCAGCTTACTGTGTCCTGAACTATTCTAAATACACAAACCAAAACAAAAAGCCACAACACACGCCTAGAACATTTAGCATGGAAAGCTGTTGGTCAGTAACTCAAAGATTTGAACTTAAACAAGTGCTGTTTTGCAACATAACACTGGTAATATTTTAAATCCAGAAAAAACTATGCAATTCGATTTCAAGAACATCAACAAAACCATAGCTGTATCAATACAGAAAACAATTTAATTTGTTTCAAAATAAATATTTGACATACAAAGCACATACAGTGAAAAAGGGTCACAATAAATTACAAATGGAGATACTTGCTCATTCACTGAGAAAAGCCCTTGATATTTCCAATTTCATAGCATCACATTTATCATTCTTGCTGATTTAAGCACAGCACTAAACAAATATGGATCCCAGTGCTTTCTTTCACAAGTACTGGTATGGATGATTTACTGCAGTGATCCAATTTGAAAATCAGTAGGGACCACTAAATCGCTGCATAAAAGAAAGAGCGAATGAGGTGCTTTTTCCTTAGCGTCAGCAGCCTGTGATTATGATGTTTATTAGATTTTCCTGAAAGGGCTTCACATTTTCTCAAATATGTAGGAGAACTATATTTCCCCTCTGAGCCCTTACATTAGCATTTTGTGCCTCAGTCCTTGAATACAAGTAAAAGATGAATTTTTCAATTCATTTTAGAAGTTTGTACCATCTGGATAGCAGAGAACCAAGCAATGAAACTTCCTTACCTGCACAGTATCTGCCATTATCACAGAGCTAGCTTCTGCAGAAAAAGTTTATAGGTAATGCTGACATTTTATGTAAAAGGTATTTTTGAATCCACATTTAAATTCAATTATATTATCCATATTGATAATTAATTTTTTAAATAATGGATTGCTTAAGGTTCTATCCTTAAAAGGCAATATAAACCAGCAAGGCCTGACTCTTCCTGTGACTGTAAGAAAAATACAGCACAATAGAAGTTACAGTACAAAGATACACTAACCAATTTCAGTATTATAGTTTAACCACAAATATTTGCACTGCAGCAGTTAAAAGTTATACACAATTACCACAGATCAGCATACCCTACTAACATCTAGCATGTAAGTGCTTGCAGTCTTGCTCTGTGGTGTTATTTCTCCTCACCAGGAAGATGACGACACAAGGGGCCATACCTAGCTCTTGCACATGGGAATCAAATTTTGACACGGCTTTAAAAGAACATGCTGTTCTACCTTAATGGTCTTTTCTACCATTAATCTTAGCACTGAAAGGTACAGTACTTTATGAAACTCTTTAAGGAGCAGTTAGTATCATTTTTGGAAATAGAACCAGGAAGTCTTAACATGGTGTAGAAACAAATCACAGTTCCCCCAAATGCTTGTCCAACTTTTTTTGATTTCCTGCTCTGCCAGAGCTCTTGCATTGCCTCAGGCTACGAAGTTCCAGTCTGTAAAATGGGCAAGAACTGTACTTCCTTAGTTAACAAGGGGTCTGTACAGCAAATGTTGCAATACAGGTGCCTAACAATAAAACGGTTCAATGCAGATTGTACAAAATAAACAGCTGCATTATTTGTTTGGACAGTACTATAACATATTTAGTTAGCAGCTCAGAAACTGTTAGAAATAGTGGCTCACGATTATAATAAATTAAAAATCCTTAAAACATGTAAATTATAACATTAGCAGATAGTGCTCCCCTTCAACACTGATCTAAGGGAGCAAAACATAAAATGTGACAGCACAAAAATGACAAGTATAAAATTCAATAAAAGATAATAAAGGAAAGGACAGATGCATTAGTGAATTGCTCTGTGTGTAAGAAATCCCAACTGGCATTAGCTGCTCCAATAGACCCAGTGGGTCCTGATGCTTTATTTATCTGCAGGGGAGAACAGACAAGTCTTACACTGAAGTGTCACTCGTAAAGCAAGCTTGTGCACAGCAAGGGGTAGGTCTACCTACAGAATATCTGCAAAAGCACTTTAACCTATGAAATCTTAGACAAAGAAAAAAAAATGACCAGCATGATTTATACCAGTGGAAACAGTTGCCACATTGGGTAGGTAACCTTCTAGTAGGACAAAAACTCTTCTACTTCACGTTAGGGATTGGGAGGCATTTTCTGGTCAGTTGCAAAATATCTGTACTACCAGACTTCTGTTACAGCCTCTGCATCACAGCTAGGTGTTGACAGCACAGCAACGTGAACATATATATAGTTCTTTTCCCCAAAGAAAAATCTCAAGTTATCAGGACACAACCAGAATTTCAGGTGTTTAATTTGTTAGTACAGAAACAGTCAAACTGTGGTAAGGAAGCAGGCACAAGGACAGAATGTTTTTGCCAGTGCTGAGAAAACTTGATGTTATCACTTAAGCAACCTAAAGGCTGCAGTACAAAAATCAAAGTTGATGCAGATTGCAGGTCATTTGCCCTATTTATTTTGCTTGGAAGTTATTCTTATCCCTTTGTTCAATGTTTTCTTGGCACATCAGAGAGTTAAGTTTTACCAGGCCACAAGTAGAATCCAGGCCTTATTTGTCAAGCAACTCCACGCAAACCCAAAAATGCAGTAGTAGCCAAATCAAATCTACTTTCTCCTTTTGACCCATTTTTAAGACTACAGAAAGAGTTAACAAGAAATTCAGTATCCACATGCAACTTCTCCTTCATGGCACTGTCTTCCAACTCCCTACTTACTGAAATCTCATTCACATATTCCTTTTAATCTTCCTTGTGAATTCATAGAGTTGGATCTCAGACTTAGCATCCTTCAGTTACAGTTGCAATACATTGGATCCAATTTAGACTCCTCTCATTAAATAACAGCATACAATTAAAGATACAGTAGACTGCAACCTTAACAGCAGTCTTAGACCACAAAAATTTGCTCAGAAATAACAAAAGTATTTATATGCCTTCCACTCCCCCTAGAGAGGACCAATTTAGATGATCACATTAATTTTTAAATCACAATGGTGCAAAAAGCTGAATAGTCTGACATCACCACTCAAAAGTTTACCACGTAACACAAAGAAGGTCTAGAAACTGCTGAAGAATTGGAATGGTCTAGATTTCTGCTCTGATTAGACACTGTTGTTGCTGTGCTTATTCTCAGGTTAAATTTTGAAGGAAAGGGTCGTACATTTTTGCACTTTAGAAGGCAAAATTCCCTAGAAAATAATTTAAAAATGCACAAGACATTGTGTCCCAATACAGAAGCAGCTGGGAATATAAGAACATGCACACATACACACAGGACAGCATTCTGCTCAACTTCCAGGTTCAAGCATCAGTACATTCTATTAGAGAGAAAATAAGCTTGAAGAGCTTGGCAAATTACATTTAACACTCCTTTTATTGCAGTAGAAATTTTAGTTTTTATAAAATCCTCAAATTACAGGATATACATATAGTGAATCTCATTGCAAGTCTTTAGCAGCTGTAGAGCATTACTGCATGCAGTTGCTTCTGCAGTGTGCAAGTGTTCTACAAATAGCTAATCATGTTCAGAGAGCAAGACAAGTAGTCAAAGAATATCATATTCAATTACCAATTGGTTTGTCAGTACCAAGAGGTTGAGCAAAAACCAAAGTCTATAAATACATGGCTCTGATCTAACAAACTAATACAACTGGAAAGTCTGAATGATAACCACATCAAAACCAAGATAATTCAACCGTTACAGAAAAATACTTTGCTTCAAGATTGTTTTTGAAAGTGTTTCACATAAGATTTCTCTGAACAAGAAAGAATAGTTAAGTACAGTGCTATAGGAGTTTACAAAAGGCCAAGGAAACCCATTTAATTTTATGCAATTAGAATACTAACATTAACTACACAAGAGTTGGCAAATACTTTGCCCTGAATTTATGGAAAGAAATTGTGGTCAGACAGATTAATATTAATTTGTTTCCCCTCCCCCACTTACCTACCTTTCAGCTGCTGGGTGAATGCATAATCAGCACTCAAGTTAATAATCACGTCTCTAGTCATGACACTGGCTTCAGATCAGTCATCGGATGGATTTATGCCAAGAAATCCTACACCCATTTGTTTCAGAAGCTGCCTAAACAGGTGCAATCCTTTATGCAAATTTCCCATCACAATGAGAGTCTCAGAAACTGGAATAACAATCTATACAGAGCTAGCTACAGATTAATTTTCTAAAAAGCTGACATGCTTGAATTACTGCAGTCTCACATTTGTGTAGACACAAGAACAAATCTGCAATGGTTCTGCAAAAGTTACTTCGTTTACATTGATTAGTTCATTTAAGAGATGGCTAAAAGTTTAAGCATTGCATCTTTGTCTGAAAAGCCTACAGGTCAGCAATTTGGCTTGATAAAACATTTTGTTATAAGACAACTGCAGTTTTCTGTGATCAGTCTCGAGACTTCTTCCAACAACACAAGACTACATCACAAGGTAGAAACTTGGAAAAGTTCTTTTTAAGTAGTAGCAATAAAAGTAGCCTCTCCTTCAGAAAAGGTGTTAACTATGTCAGCTTCATTGATTTTAATCCCTTTTGTTAAATTCAAAGTGGGTAGTAACTTTACACTGAGTAATTTAGATGAAATGGTACTACAGATGTATTTAGTAAGCAGAAGAATACTGTCCAAAATGTACTGCATAGTTACATGTACCAACTGCTATCCACTGGAGACATCCTATAGCAGCTATAGTTCCAACTAACATAAACCTACTGAGTATAGACCTTAAAGATTTAATCAGCCTCAAACAACTCTTGATTCCTAAAAAAACCCAATTCTGTATGACTGGGCATGTTTTAGATAGGATGCAGCTACTTTTTTCACCAATTAGCAATACAGCACAGTAATTTTAAGTTTCCATTACTTGCTTTTGATATGCTAAATTTCATATTATCTCCAGAAAAGCATATACACATTTTTATACAGCCTGGAGTGAGATCAGTGTAAAACCAGGAATTTTTAATCATCAGCAGAAGTGCCAGCTGCTCATAATGTTCACAAGACACAAGTGCCTGAAATTTGGCTATGCAACAGTTGGTGCCAATCTGCTTATAAAGGAAATGCTGCTGAGGCATAGTCTTCTTACAAAAACAGGGCATGAGGGCTTCATTATTAAGTGTTCAACAACAATCCTCAGCTCGGTGAAGAGAGTCCTGAAAAAATCAGATTTAAAGAGTTTTAAAATCCTACAGAATTTATCAGAAGTAAGTATCATCTAAATCTATCAACTCAAGCATTACTGTATTTTGCAAGAGCTTCTGAATTATTGTCCTTTAAACATTAACATTTTAATTAACTTCAGTTCATTGGCTTCCAGCAAATGAAACAAAGCAACAGAAAAGTTCCACCTTCAAGGAAAAAAAACACAAACCACAAAAAAAAAAAAAAAAAAAAAAGCACCACACACCCAAAAAAAAAAAAACAAACCCACCAAAAAACACCAAAACAAAACCCCACAAACCACACAACAGCCAACACTCCCACCTCACCCCCCCAAATTATAAAAAAAAGACAGGGTAATGCTTTATCAAAAAGTGTGTAAGAAGCTGGGAGGTGATTGTGTGTTTGTGCTGCTTGTTGCCAGAATGCAAGAACTCTGCACTAGAAGCATTAGAAGACAGACATGAGAAATACAGCCCAAAACACCAGTTTCCCTTAAAACTACATAAATGCCAGCAGAATCTTTGGAAAACTAGCTCTATTGAAAGCTAGTTCTATTATTGTACAACTTAAATTATTTTTAGATATTAAAGTAATAAAGCACCTTTATATATGTTTGTTGTTGTTGTTAAAAAGAAGACATGAACTGAGATGGAACAAATGATTTCTTATGAAACAGTAGGGAATAGGAGGTGATGAAGTTTATAATTCTCAGACCCACCTTTGCATACCATAGCAGCAAAACACACTTTATTGGTTAGTTTAGCAAACCATTTTCTAATAGCATAGCGATCAGACCAGAAAGCATATTCACAAAATTTTATGCTATGCAACACTTGTCATAAGAAAAAATCCAAGAAAGCGCTAACTCGAGCAAACTCTCATAGGAATATATATGGTCTCAAAGTTTGAAGCTTGACCAACTTTCAGACAAAATCAATAAGGCTCTATTTCAATTATAATTAACCTATGAATTTAACTAAAGGAGGTAGTGAACATGTTTAAGATCATCCACAGGGGTGGGTTTTGTTTTTTTTCTGTCAAGGTAACACAAGTTCTTAAGTTCCTATTAATGTATAGACTTACTCTTAGATAGGCCTGGAATCCAAAAATAAGGATCTCTTTCTGGTAAATGGTTGCAGAACAATTGAAAGATTTTCTTACCCAAAGCACAGTTTTAATTACACAAGCATGTTCTGTAAGCTCCCATTCGAGGATGGGAACATTTCAGAAACGTTCGGTTACACAAAATAAATGTAACCTTGACCAGCATCCAGGTGTATTCCACATGGTAATTATAGAGACTTAGTATTACAAATTATGCATTCATTTTAGAATTAAAAATTTCTGAATGCCTAAACACTATGCTGTTAAACATGAACTTCCAAAATCAGTTTAGTGCTTACCGACAGTATGGATTTCGCCGAGAGGAGTAGCGTAATGTAAGAAATCTATAGTAAATGAATGGCTGGAGCAGACTCCCTTGCCCACTGAAAGAGAACAGAGAAGTAGAGCTTAATACTGCCAAAAACAAAACAAAACAACAGGGCTTTAGCTAGATTGGAGTCACATTGGTTCAGGTTATATATAACTGACAAGAAAAAGTAAATAACCATATACTTACAAAGGCAGAAACTTACATTATAGAATAAAACTGCTCAACAAAGCAGTTAAAGAAGTGCTGTTCTTGTATTGATTTTATATTTATGAAGTTTTTTACATGTCTTATTTCTGGCAGTGGGCAAAGGATCACAGAAGTGTGGTGAACACCTGTTCAGTATTAAGAAAAGCTTGCTGGTCAAGCACAGAAATTGATGGACATAAATAGTCCAGCTACAGCAAACTTTTTCAGCTCTAATCATAACACTTTTAATATCTGAACCATATTTCTAGTATCTTTTGCAGAACATCTCAGAATACATTGGAGACTATTATAGATGTAGTGAGACATTAATGCCAAGCTGATATCCAACTACTTCAGCTACACTGAAATTAGGTTTTGGTATTTTAAAAAGCTGCTGTTTCATGTGACATTGCTGTAAAATAGTGAAAGAGTAGAATACAAATCATACATAGCAAAGCACAGAAGTACCATGAGTTTGATTTTTATGACTGAAGTTTCTTTACATAACGCAGTATAAAAAGTTTTGTTTGAAGTTGAACGTAACAGTTCAAATAACTAGAGCTCCTTCGAGTATGAGCAGTATCTTTACCCAGGGGAGAAATATAAATAAATAAATAAATAAAAGTAGTGAGTTACAGGAGGCAGAAAAGAGGAAATACTGCACCTGTAGAGTATCTACAAGCAATTTAATACACTAAACCAGTTTAAAGAACAAATTCTCACAATAGCTGCATTTAACCATTATATGATCTTAAAATTTGGTATATGATACAGTATCTACTAGGTGACCTATTAGCAATACTTCCCATACTAAATTTTCAAGAGAGAGAGAAGGAAGGAGGGAATAAAAAAAGTGCTCCTAAAGAGAAGTTTAAAGCACTTGAAAGTTTCAGATACTGGATACAAAGTGTATCTGTCAGTTGTTAAGTGGCCTTAAATGAAATGGAAGGCTTCAGTGCTGAAGCGTTCAGCAGAGTTATCAAAAGACAAATTATGCATTCTATCAACTTCCAAGAAGATAAAGCCCTCCTTCTACTGCCTGTGAGCCCACTCAAGACTAATGCTCTCGCTGTGCTAGGACTTGTACAGAACAAAGGGCATACTCCCCTTCCAAATATTAAAAGAAAGATAGTTATGCCTATATGACTTCAGTAGGATTCCAACATGCATATGCTCAAGATCCTCAAAATGAATTCAACAGGCTGCAGAGCAGGCAAAACCAAATGAAATCAGAGACAAGGGTCACTGGTCAGAAGTAACACAGGAGAGGACATAACCTACTCCTGCTTGCACATTTTCAGCAGAATTAAATACCGTGCCAGTTAAATTTCTAGAATCCAGTAGCCAAAATTAAGAGTTCACTTTCAGTGAAGCTGAAGAGCTTAATATTCCATTACACTAACAAAATTAAACTTACGGAACAATACAGAAGAACACAAGTTACAGGCCTGAAAAACTTTGATTTGACCCAACAATGTCACCAAGGCTATGAACGGGAATGGTTTCTTTTGGTGCTCAGTTGTATCAGAGTGAACACTTTGATTTCATGATGCACCAACTTAATAAGTCTAGGAATCAAACAAATTAAATTCAAGCCTTGGTCAGCCAGAACCATACAAATGGAGATCTATGACCCACAGAAAACTCAATTTCAAAAAGTAATCTCGTGTAGACAGTTTCTAATCCTGAAACTATTTATGGTAATTCTTACCTGAAGAGCATAAAAACTGTAGCTGGCATCAAGAAAATTTCATTGCAAGCAATGAATTTCAGAATATTCTGTTGATTAGCATTCAGTTTCTCCAAAATATTTCTCAGAAAGGGCATGCTGTTTGAACTTCGTGCCTTTAAAGAAGAAAAAAAAAAAAACAAACCAAAAAAAGCCAGAAAACACACAAGTTACACCTATCTTCTTTAGCACAAAGAAATCAAAATACTAACAATTATAACTTACAACTGATTTCAGCAGTTTAAGACTAGATCCTTTAAAGGTATTGAGATTAGTATCCCAAAGAAAACCACCATAAACTTGGAACCCCATAATTACATAGAGTTCAATTAAAAACATGAGGTGTTGCAATTCCCTCACCCACCCATTTTAGGTTCAGTTGCACACAGATGGCCACGATCCTTACTCTGCCCGCCAGGAGGAATTACCAATGGTAGCAAGATAGCCTAGTTAGGAACACCAGAAGCTGGAGTTACATCAACTGCACAAGGCACTTCATGGAGTAGCAGGGCCAACTGGCAAGTATTTTGCTTGCTAGCCTCACCCTGCAGTTTGTTATTTTACTACTGAACTAGAACATGAAATTTCACAGGCTATGGTTTAGCTTGAAAAGACATGTCTTAAGTTTCAACTTAACTGTTACACTGCTTTTGTATCCTTCAAAGAACAGCATTTGAAGAAAAATAATTAGTGTCAACATATCATTGAGTCATAACAGAACTAGGGGGAAGGAAGGGGAAAAAAAAAGATTTCTCGTATTCTCTGTGCTGAGATTCCATACTAGTTTCACTCTAACTCCCCTAGTGTAGCTAAAAGAAACTATGGCTGCAGCTCAAACCCATTTACAAACCCAAGAATCCCAGCAGCATGAATTGTACTATACATCATATCTTACTTACATCAAGAACCTTCTTTGTATATGTAGCAGCATGAAGCAAAGAGAATAGCAGAACTGGAAAAATACTCACTGAAGCAAGCGATAAGGAAAATTATAGACTGCACAAGTACTTAATTTCTCTGTCACGTTACGCAAACACACAAGCTATAGCTTGATGGCTCTTTACAACAGGTTGGCTGGAATGACCTATACTGTGTTAAGACATGCATGCATCTAAGATCTATTATTTATAACTCTTCCATTTGCTTCTTACAGCTCTCAGCTACACTTTATTAACTTCAAAATGTGTGTGAATGCAGGTATGCAAAAGTACAACAAACACCATTATGCACCAGTGCATTTCTACTGAAATGCATCCTTTCTGCATGAAAGACACAAAGGAGGTTATTACTTAAAAATCTATCAAACAGATTATCATGATATTTTTATTAAGAAAAGCTACAAAAAGCATTTCTATACCAAAGAGCATGCAGTTGTCAGACATCCAGATTTTAGAGAGCAAGAATGCAGACATTCCTCTACCAAAGACATTAAAAGTAGGACGTTCTTAAGAGTGGCACAAAAAAAAAAAAAAAAATCAGTTCTTGCATATGACCCTTGACAAGCCACAGGAGTGAGCCTTTTTTCTAGACTCTGTTTAATAACTTATCTGAAAAAGCTACTGCTGAATAATTTCTCTCTACGTAATGCATGTCCTACTCACACTGAGGAATCATATATAAACCCTGTACTAGTAATAATTGAGAAAGTTACCAACTTCTCAAAGTATCACTTGAGGCTGGTCATAAAATCCACCAAACTTGTCTCAGGAAAAGAAAATTTAAGTAGTCAGAGACTGCACTGCACTAGTTAGAGATGATTAACCTGAATATGGATCAATTAACATAAGCCTCTCCTATTTTACATAGGATATGTTCCATGAATAGCAAACATATTCTAGTTTAAACTAGTTTTTCAAATCATGGCACAGGCAACGAAGAGAATCAAGTTTTAAGATATTTAAAGACATAACCAGGATAACACAATTAAGATATTTAAAGACATAACCAGGATGACACAAGTAAAGGATACTTGTAACAGGGTAGGAATTCACAAAGATAAGAGAGTACAACAGGTAGTGGCAGCTGTCCTCCAGCAAAGCCTGGGCCAGAAACGCCCTGCTAAGCTGAAAGTGCGGTAGCCTTTGGTGTAGTCGGAGGGCACTAGTAAGAGCATTTGCCAGCAAGGCACGCTGATAAAAGCTCGCTGCTTCATGCAACCTGCAAATCATCAGAGGAGATGTTACCATATGAACCAAGCCCCTGTTCAGAAGTCTTCCACCCTTGAGAATTGCATCACAATTGCATAATACGTGAAGTATTTCTATTATTGTATATAAGCAGTGTTACCAAAATACAACTCAAAACCTGGTAACATTGACTTACTGCAAGTGCCACAGGTAAAACAACTCATTACTTCATCATTATGCATAAAGATATCAATTTGCCACTACTTTACAGCTGATCAACATATTTTCCAAATGCATCCAAAAGTGGTTTATATCAATCTAATTCTGACAAAAAGCATCCAAGTAATCTGAACAATAGAAATTTACCCTTTTGTTAAAAATAACTCTATGAAAAGGAGGTGCAGTTACTTTGCAAATTATAAATGCTATTTTATAACATTACAATACATACCCTAGAAGAGGCAGAACAAATAAAGCTGAGCAGTAAACTGTGAACAAGCGGGAAATCCACATTGCTGTATCCAACTTGTTAGCCATCAGAAACTGCTACATTAAAAGAAAAACACAACCCCCCCGGAAGTTGATATCTTAATATTTGCATACAATGAACAGTCTTCCCTTCTGCAATAAATTGCAAGTCTTTCTCCAACCTTGAATACAAGCAAATCATAGCTCGAAGTGTTCTGTGATATTTGACTCGTATGATGTTGCTAACCTGAACAAAAATAGGTAGGCTTCCTGAGAACCACAGAGCTCCTTTATACACTACAACCAAATATAGTGGTAAGGTAAGATCTTCTGCGGAGGTAGTTCTATACAAACCAACCTTACCAGCTTCAAAAATGTTACCATGCAATGTCTTTAGGCCTCACCAACTTTTGCAACTATTGCTTCCAGGTTCCTTTTAAAATACACTGCACACATCTATGGCTAAATCTTCACAAATCTTACTGAAAGGAAAAATGCCAGGTACAGCTGGCTACTAAGAAGGAGAAAAAAAAAGTGACTGCTGTAGCTGAACCCAGGACACTATGTCATAAAGAACACAGCATTGTTTTGGCCTACATATTCTTGGCCTCCAAAAAGCAAAAAACTCTCAACAGTAGCCCAGCACCTCTCCTGTTGTTGAGCTCTCCTTAACCTCAGCTCTCTCCACTCCTGATACAGTCAATGTACCAGAAAGGCTCTAATGAAACACAGCATGCTTTTGGCTATTCAGTACCCAAGAATGAAAGTATCAGCTTCCCTTCACGATAAAGAGCTCGAGGGTTTGGTGTTTTTTTTCTCGAATTTGAACCTGCTTTGAAGACTGCGCTTGTCCTTTGCATTCCTAGGACAAGAACAGAAATTTAAAATTAAAACTGCCAGAAATTACCCTAACCTACCTGCAAGCGCCTTCATATCACTATCTCCTGCCTTGCTTGCACAATACAGCTACGCGGCATTAGTTTTGATAGAGACGTTTTCAAGAACGGCGGCGCAGCAACATCACGTTTTCCACCACAAAGTGGAAGAGCTGCTCCCCTGCCGTCCCGGGCATACTGCGATCGCCGCAGGACCCTCCCGGCAGCACCATGGGTGCCCGCGCTGCTGGAGAAGCGCCACGGCCGGCCCAGGGC